CAGTAACCGCCGTAGCGATTGTACTACGGAAGTGTGGCTGTGAGGGGGGAGTGTGGTTGGGTACACCGGGTCGCGGGATCTCCGTCGTGGGATCTCTGTGCTGGGGTGGGGTGAAGTGCTTAGGTTTGAGTCCTGGGGCTTCACTTTCACCCCAGCCCACTTCAAGTTAGCCTTATGGCTAGGTGTTAGCCTGCTAAGCCGTTGGTCATGTGTTCGAGTGTCGTATTCGTCACATAGCTACTGCTGCTACTCTATGAGGGGTGGCGGACGATGAGAAAGGGAGGCGCAGCTACTGGCAGGTCTCGGTCTTTGTGTTAGCCAGACCCCCACTGGCGGCCCCAACCCTATACCCTAAACATTAGGGGCAAGGGGCAACATGAAATCTCCCCTTCACAGTCAGAGGAAACTATGCTTGCAGGGGTCCCCTCTAGATAGCCTTAGGAGTAGGTAGTGAAAGGCAAAAACAGAAGTTGAGAGAAGAATATAGAAAAAAAAATAAAAAAAATCCCCGAAAAATAAAGGCGGGGCGGTCCTGATGCTACCGGCTGACCCCTGGCCGGTATCGCCCACCTGCTGTAGCAGGTATCGCACCTGCTAGTGGGTGCAGCTCCCGCATGTTCCCTCGTTGGAGGCTTGAGCACGGATGCGGCTGCTATGGGGTTCCCCGTAATACTATAATGACAATAAAAAAGGCCTGAAAGGCCGTCCTGTCCAGATTTGACAGGTAATTGAATTGTTTGGGCTTAAAGAATTAGCCTTAAAAAAAAATAAAAAATAAAATGTTGAATGGGGGCGAAGGAAGGAAGAGAGAGCTGGAGGATGTTGGGGAGGGATACGGTTTACAATTTGACGAAGGAAAACTAGCGAGGAAAATAGGAGGAAGAGGGCCGAAGAGAGTTGAAAGGCATCCAAAGCCATAGCTGGCAGGGCCTAAGGAAGTACGGCGACAAGCATAGCCGTGTTTTCTTTTCTCTTTTTTCGTGTTTTTTCTCGCTCTCTCCTCGAAAAAATGAGCCAATCAGCCAGCATGTCCAGCCGGATGGCCATGGTGTCGCGGTCGCGGTCGTTGATCTCAAGCTGTCGACAGCTCGAATCTGGAGGCGCGCCCATCGCCCAGAGCTCCTCTCGTCCTCTTCTTCCTCGTCGGCCTCGGTCCCGATCTCGGCCTCCTCCTGTTGCCCCTTCCGCTCCCCGTGCCCCTGTGGGTTTTCGCCCTTCTTCGAAGACGAATGAGGACACGTCACGGGCGATGGCTGTTACAAGCTGGTCGAGATCTGCTCTGTGGAAGCGAGCGGCAAGACCGAATTGTCGTCTTCGGGGTCGGGATCCCACTCCAGGTCGTGGCTTTGGCGGCTATGGTGGACGACGAGGAGGAGAAGGCGGAGAACAAGTGAAAGAGGAAGGATGCTCTGCGTGCTCGCCGCCGGCAGCCGTGCTGGTGCCCGCCGGCGACAACGAGGCATTTTTGTCCTCGTCCCACTTGGCGGTGATTGGCGGGAAAGCCAGTGGCTGTTCCCCGCTGCCACGTGGCAGGCTGTACGACCGCCGTCCTAGTGTCGTAAGTCCTGAGACGGCCATCGCTTGTCGCACGGGCTCAGGGCCGTGGAACGATCAAGTCGGGACGTGGACGGTACACAATCCGTCCCTGGCGCCTCCTTTGGTCCGTGGCGTGGGCGGATTGTCCTGCGCGCCGAGCGCGACCTCGACTCCGCCCCTGTCATCGCCGTCGGGATCGGAATATGCTATCACACGTGGTCGAGATGCCAGGAGACGAGGACTCGTGGATGCTCCTCGTGAAGAATTGTCCGGAGGATGGAGCTTGTCGGCGCGCAGTTCTGACTTCCGTTGGTGGTTTTTGTGCTCAATGACGAGGCGGCACGTGTCGAAAATCGCCGCAGGTGCAAGTGATTGCAGTATGGCATTGCATGATTCTTTTGAAATTCTGTTGCGTGGTTGGTTGGTTGATTGCTTGGTTGAATTCTTGATTGCTTGATTGATTACTTGATTGATTGATTGATTGATTGATTGATTGATTGATCGCTCGATTGATTGCTCGATTGATTGGATGCTTGATTGGTTGCTTGATTGATCTTTCTTGCGTGTTTGATTGATTGATCTTGCTTGATTTTGATTGAATCGATTCCGTATACTGTGGCATGTATGAAGAGGATCGTGTGTACTATATGCCTTTGTCAGTATGTACATGCTTACGCATATCTGTATGTGTCTATGTATCCCTCTATCTATCTATCTAATGCATCTATCTGTCCGTTTTTCTTGCTATCAATCTATCAATTTATCTATCGGTCTATCTAAATGGCTAAATGAATAAGATAGACTGCAGTAAACGGAATCGATTCAATCAATCACTCACGCAATCAATCAATCAATCACGCAATCAAGTAATCAATATATATATCGTCGTAGAGAACTGCCGGTGAACCGTGGACGGTGACAGACTGTTTTGTCCGATTTCATATATACGCATCCTGTGTGACGAGTCGGTGAAACTCCGACGAAACAGTTCCGTGTATATTTACTGTTTTTAATAATCATGTCTATCGTTAGTACTCGTCAACCAAAAAAAAACAAAAAAAAAAGAATTGTCGTTACACGTGTGCAGATGTGTTAGCTGTGAACCTAGGCTACCAGAGTCGCGCGGACCGCGCCGCCTGGACGGGCAACTCGGGCAAACCTGCCTGGGGGGAAGACTGACCGGGGTACCTGGGCGACAGCGAAAGGTGGGTCGATTCTTTTTTTTTCCCCTGTGGCAGTGGGGTAATTTTGCGGCCACTGAGATTTGCCCAAATCGTCCTTCGGGACATCCGTGAAAATTGGAACGAAAAAGCAATAAAAAATAAAAAAATGGAACGATACAGAGAAGATTAGCATGGGATACAGAGACGAATCTCAATCCACGCAATAAACAATGAGTTTCACAAAACGACTTCACCCATGCTATACCTTCCATGCACGCGGCTACCCAGGGCACAGAGAAAAAAACGACCTCGCATCCTTTAAAATTGGAACGATAAAAAAAAATAAAAAAATAAAATGGAACGATATAGAGAAGATTAACATGGCCCCTGCGAAAAAAAAAAAAAAAGGTTTGCCCAAATCCGGCCTTATCTTTGAATTTGCCAATTTGGCTAGGCTACCAGAGTGGCCCGGGGTCACTTGCCCGGCCGGGCCAAAAAAATAAATAAAATAAAATAAAATAAAAATTTTTGCTCTAAATTTGGTGAAGAATTTCGATGTGACCCTGAGGCAAAAGTTGTTCAGTTTATTTTTCTGCATAACATAGTTTTTTTTCGGATTTTTTTTTTTTGCTGGGACCTTCCTTGGCCCTTGCACGGGCTGGTCACCTGGGACCCGGGCGGCCCGGCTGGTAGCCTAGCAATTTGGTGAATTTCATAGCGAATTTCGGGGTGATGCTCAGCCAAACGTTGTTTGATTTGTAATTCTGCTTGACATTTTTTTTTTTTCAGATTTTTTTCATTTTTTTTTTTTTGCTATGGGGCTGTCGGGGGACATTGACCGGGACTTTGCCCGGGCAACCCGGGCGAGTCTGAGGCAACCCGGGCGAGTCTGAGGCGACCCGGGCAGCCCGGCTGGTAGCCCAGCTGCTGTGAACTATTTATCGGTGGCCAAGCGCTTGCAAAATGCTTTTTCTTTTCTTTTCTATTCTGTTTCTTTTTCTTTTTCTTTTTCTTTTTCTTTTTCTTTTTCTTTCTTTTTGTCTTTTCTTCCCCGCCTGAACCTACTTGCTATTCTACGGTATATTCCAGGATGTAAAAAAATTAAAAAAGAGCTTTTGGATGCGTGTTATTTGGTTCCTGCTTTTATAGGGGAAGGAAAAAACCGAAAAAGATTATGAACGTTGGCATGATATTAGTACAAACTCATCCTGATCGCTGCGAAGTCAGCACAGGATAATGTAGAGGGGAAAAAAAAAGCTCCGGATAAGGCAGAGTTAAGAAAAAAAAAACAAAAAAAAAACGCACTGCAAAAAAGTGTCGTCAGACGCCTCTAAATTCCTAAGAACTGGCGGCAATTCCTGGAAGCCTGAGTTTTTTTTTTTTTTTTTTTTTTTTGGGTCTCTTCTTTTTCCCACACAGTCTGTGCTTCTTCATGTACCCCTCTGTTAACGTTTCGACCCCTTTGTGACCTCTTCGTAAAGGGGTCAAACGTTACCCCTTTGTGAAAGATCAAATGTTACCCCTTTGTGATGGGGTCAAAGGGGTCAAACGTTAACAGAGGGGTACATAATGGAGCACAGACTTCGGGGGGGGGGGGGGGG